CTTTCACGCATACGTGTGTCTTCGTCGAGTTTGTGGATTCCCGGTTACTATCCCTCCGAGACACATACATATGGCCTCATTCGGATGGCTTTATTTTGCACTCGATGGCTTTCGGATTATTGCTCCTTTCCCACCGGGCGAACACCATTAGACACACGGTGGTGCATCACCGTGTAGAGTACGCATTTTCTTTTCTTATTTTTCTTTTCTCTTAGTTGCTCTTGTGTGTCTTTGTGTTTTCTTTCTTTTGTATTTTCGTTTTGTATCGCATGAGCTTGTGTGATTACGTGCTCTAGCCTATGCTTTTTGGTCAAGCAATGAGGACATTGCTTTGTTTTAAGTGTGGGGGAGGGGTTTTATGATTATGCATGTTTGGGCGATATTTCTTTCGTTTTTGGTGCTTTATTTTTCGTATTTTTCATGCCTTGGACCGGTTTTGTTTGTGTTTTTATGTGTTTGTGTCGATTCCCCCTTCATGATGCTTGATGTGAGTTTAAAGGCCCAAAATGGTTAAGTGGTGAGATAAGCATGTTGATTGGCGTCATTGTTAACTTTCGTGCTTTATGAACTTGATGATTTGGATGGTACCATTGAATTGAATGATAATTTGTTAAATGTGGGACCCGCTTGTGAATTCACGAAATTGTTTTGTCCCTTGTGGTTCTCGATTGATTGACTTGAGATAAGCTACCTTATGCTCGATATCATTGTAAATGTGTTTATGCTATGTACTTGTAGTGCATCTTGATCGATTGTGCGATGATGTGATTAATATTATGGTGTACGTTTGTGCCACTTCCTTCGAGAAAAAAAAAAGGGTGAGTTCGCGAGGAGGTACGGACTAGGCTCCTCTTATCCCTATTCACTTCGTGGAATGGGATAATGAGCCCGGGAAACCGGTCTAGGGAACTCGAGGAGACCCCTCGAGGTTAAACCTAGATAAGAATTGTCTAGGAAACCTCGTTCGGAAAAAAAAGCTCACATAATAAAAAAAAAAGAAAAAAAGAAATAAAGAAAGAAAAAAAAGAAAAAAAGAGAAAAAAAAAAAGAAAAAGAAGAATGGGAGTTGGCTTATTGGTTTCATGCTTATAATGTTTATATGTTTAGTAGACCATCTATAGCTTTTTGCACATGTATGTAGAAAGAGGAAGCTTGGATCGAGAAAATCATGTGTAGGATAACTCGAGATGGGTTTTTGTTTTGTATGAATTCATTTCGTGGGGAACATGTTTTCGAATTTGAGTTCGATTCTTTGGTTTACCGGATGATAAAGAGAGTCTCATTTTCGCATGACTGTTAACCTTGGACCATTCGACATTTCTTTTCGAACTACTTATTATTTTGTTTGCTTGAGGACAAGCAAAAAGCTAAGTGTGGGGGAGTTGTTTATTGTGTTTTTGTGCTTATTTTCGTGTGTTTTATGTGCTTGAGTTTAGTATTTTTAGGTCCGTTTTAGTGTCAACCGGTCCATTTTATCGTGTTTCGTGCATTTTTATTCTCGTATAGTATTTTTGTGGTTCGGCGTACTTTTCTTGTATTTTTGGTGTTGTGTAGGTCCACAATAGTTGAGTTTGGGAAGACGAGCCATTTCTGAGATATTTCCGAGCCGTCCTATGTCCGAGCCACACGAACCAATTCCGAGCATATATATTAAGAGCGCTGTGATATCGATTTGAGCATTCCATGACGAAGAGAGAAAGATTTGAGGAGCGTGGGTCAAAGTTTCGAGTCAATCGGAGAAGCGTGCGAGAAATTAGAGCGAATCGAGTATCAAGTCTGCCCGCGAATTTCAGGATTCGATCCCGCGAAATGCCCTTAGCCCGCGAGTCGCCCAGTGCCCGCGAGTTTCGGCCTTCGCGCCCGCGAAATCCAGCTGCGTCGCGAGTTTCATGATCAAGTGCGCCCTTGCCCGCGAGTTCTTTCCTTTCGCGCCCGCGAATCTGCCCGCGAGCTAGCGAGTGCCCTTTCCCAGCGCGCCCCGCGTGCGCGAACTTCATGGCAAGGTCGCGAGTGCCGCTCCCAGCGCGCCCCGCGCGCGCGAATCCTTCCGCGAGGTCGAGAGTGCCACATTTCCTCGTGCCGCGCCCGTGCCTCCCCGCGCCCGCATCAGTGCCACTCGTGCCCGCGACCAGCGGAAATACCCGCGACCTCGAGAGTGTTTTACCAAATGTGCATGTTTTTAGTGTGTGTTTGTGGTGTAGCTATATAAAGACATTGTGCTTTGTAATTTTGGGAACAACCCTCATTTCCCAACTTTTAAGTTGGGAAATCCTCTCAATTTTCTCTCTTCTCTCTCCTCTTTTCTTTTTTTTTTTATGCTTTGGTTGGGAGGTTCATGACTATTTTTCCGGCGAAATTCCGACAAGTTTATTTTCATTCAAGTTTCGAGCTTTATTCACTATTTTCGTCCGAGCATGCTAGGGGAGAGTAGGTACCTTGCTTAGGCCTTACTACTTCGACTTTGTCTTTCGAATTGTGTGTTTATGCTCGTTTCTTGGTTTTACTTTATTTTTATTACTTGTTTACGTGTGTTAGGAATCTATATGTGCTTATCTTGTGTAGAGATCTCGACTTTGCTAAAAGCGTGATGATCTAGTTTGAAGGCTCGTATTAGATGAAGGATCACTATGCTCGTATGTTTTCTCTTGTTTATTTTTCTTTTTCTTTAGTCATGGAGATTCCGGTAGACCAAAGTTTCGATTTTTCTCTCTATATTTGCATCTTTCATCATTTGCTCTAAATTCTTAGTTTAATTTCATGCAAATCCAATCCCTTCAAGCGAGTAGAATGTTTAGGACCCTATTTTCGGTTATGTGACTTTGACGACTAGGTAGTGAACGAAGGTCCGAACAACCTTCCTTTGAGAACGACCCGAGTCGGGTAGCTCGGTTACCACATGCCCAAAAATACTACAAACACTGGACAATATAACCAGGTTATTTCTTTGTTTGTTTTCACTTTCTCAATGACTTCCTTATCAATTATCTGTAGTTTGGAAAGCAAATAAACCCATGTATGGAAAAGAGAATGTTACAATATATCATGAGGAATTGAGGATAAAGAATGGAAAGAAAAGAGTTAAGCTAAAACTAAAGGTTTGCCTACATGATATGCCTGACAATTTTATTGATCCTCTTGAATTTGATGTGCTTGGGTACATACTCCCTATAAATCACTCCTATAAATCACGCAGCAGTAGCAAAGAAAAAATTGTTAAAATCGGGTATGCCAACAACACCGTCGAAACAACAACACTGGCTGCATCTGTAATGGACGACATTCATAATCGCGACCGACACGCTACCTCTTCAAAACAAAAACATAGAAAATAGATCGAAAAAACCAAGAAAAAAGAAAAAAAAAAGCAAGTGCATACCTTTTAGTGTCAATTGATTTCAGCCATATAAGCCCTCTTTAGTTCTCCATCAAACATCAAACCAGAAACTGTATATACAAAAAAAAGTACAAAAATATTAACTTAACAAAATATTTAAGGTCTATTCATCTAATCTAATTTCACAAAAAACCGTCTAAAATCTAGAAAACATAAAGCATTTTAAATATCTCTTGTAATTCATATTGAAATATAAACAATCAAAAGCATAAGGTGGAATATGACATTAGAAATATGTCAGCAGTAACTCCAAAATAATAGTTCAGTTCCTGGTTGATTTTTTGGGGAGGAGATTACCTGCAGTGGTTTTGATGGGGTCAAATTTTCTCCACCAGAACTCTATTGAAAGTTGGAATCAATCGTTTAGGCTTTAGCCATTGCTAACAGCCAACTCTCGACTTCATTTAAGGATAACTTTTTTCTTATCTGGTCTTTTGTTCTAAATTAAAATGAGATTCAATCCCTTTGCTCTTCAAGATTACGAAATATCATTTGAGTTCTAGAAATTTGCCCCCATCTACCTCATTTCCTTTTGGAGTTCGAGAATTTTTCTGCTTTCTTCATGGCTTCTCCCGAATACGTCTCGAGAAATCACATCGACTGTCGTCGCCAGCTCCACATCACCTGATCGCTGCAGTTCCTCAGCCTGACCAACACAGCTTCTATTACAACCACGACTGCATCTCCGAAGTTGTAACCTAGACACTGAGATTTTACCAGAGCTTCTCCGATCCGAATATCGATCTCGTCCCCACACGCTGTAAGGGCGATTAGGAGGCCAACGTGGGGTTGGCCGATCTGAATCATCGATGCCCGAATTTTGGGCTAGAGTCTTCTTTGACAGAGAGAGAGATATATAGAGACGCAGTAAAAAATGAGATAAATGTATGTTTTTTCAAAGTTTCCCTTGGGCTTTCAGTATGAAATCTAAAATGTAAACGGCACGAAAGAAGATGATAGATATAAAATCCCGAAAAATCGTGAGCTCGATGATTCCCCGCGATTTAGGCGTCAGTGGACTTCAGATTAAAGATAAAGACCGTACAATTAAAGAAAAACGTTGTCGTTTCCATGAGAAAAATTGAAAAAAAAAAACATTTTAGTAAATTACATGTCGCATGCTAAAGGAGAGTGAGGGGTATTTTAGTAAGACACTTGTCACTTTCTAACAATGGCAAAATGGGACACTTGTCATTATTTAAAGTGCACTCCTTCATGTATATAGATAAGAGAGATAAGAGAGATAAGAGAGATTTTGAGTAATGGTTTGAGTATTTGAAACCAAAGCCTCATCAAGATAAAGGCGATTAACATAACGTAGGCCCACAATTGAAGAACCCTATTGGGTTTTAGCTTCTGTCTGGCAATTAATTAATGAGAAAATTGCATAAATATAAAAACTGGGTAAATATTAACATATTAACATAATCAATTGATTTTAATTGCAAAAATACCACATAATAAATCTGATGCAATCAAGCGTAATTAAAGAGAAAAACTTATCCCCTTCCAAATAACTACTCCCTATGTAATTGGTAAGATATTTTCTCACACCTCTTCTCAGTAACCTCCCAACCAAGTCAACACAACTTCTCCATCATCTCTCCCCCACCTGTGCAACGCAAATTCTATCTCCTCCACCCCTTTACACCGAGTTCAAACATGGCAACAACTAAGTTCTGATGGTGCATTCCGTTGCGTCGTCAAGTCTTCATCACCGCCGGATAATAATATATGCCTTATATAAACTAAACATATACAGTTTTCAGATTACTAAACATATACAGTTTTCAGATTCATTGTGGATAATATAGTATATACGTTATATAAACTAAACATATACAGTTTTCAGATTACTAAACATATACAGTTTTCATATTCATTGTGGATAATATAATATATACGATATATAAACTAAACATATACAGTTTTCATATTTTCGATCAACCTGTTTTTAAATTCAAATTCACAATCCTTTTCAGATTACTAAATAATTTTTCGGCTGGTGGATATGACCAGAAATAACAGAACGATGATACCGATCGACCTTGTTTTGAATTCACAATAAAATTCCCTATTTTTTCGCAAGCTAATTTTACGAGTTTGGTGCTTACCATGTGAGAGAATATCCTTGAATTATTTTGTTATAACTCTTCCCGTAACAGACAGAAGACAGAGATTTAGTTGCCATATTTTGCGACCATTTATTTAGCTGGGATTCCATACTTTCTATTGCATCGTTTCGTACTAGTGCAAATATTCTTAAAGAATAGTATCTATGCAAATATTTAATGGGAGGTTATGCAAGGATGTAAATTCCCCTTAAATAAATGGATTAAAATATGTTGTCAATTGCGTAGTCCATTCGTTGTACTGCTTAATTATTGATATTATGAGTAAATATAAAATAATCATCATTTTAGAAGATCTGAAGCAAAAAGGTGATCGATCACAAGAATTTTAAAACAAATTGTGGAGCTTTTGACCGAAGAAAATGGAAATTTTAGAAGAAAATAAAATTAGTTGCACCTAAAAATTAAGTAATGCATAAAAAGAACATCATTTATCGTGTAGTGATGTACATAAATCTCAACAAATTTTTTCCGTGAAGCATCAAGCCATCACCTCTTACGTCATGCTCAAGCCACGGAACGATACCTGTGGGTGGGGCCAGAAGCTGGTGGAAACCTAGAGAAACCGAGGTCGCGTGAGATGCTAAGTAGTCTACGGCAAAATTCGCCTTACGAAAGATGTGAGAAATCTTAACCTGCCAGTTTCGACTGAGAAGCTCTCTTAATTATCCTATGATCAAACCCGAATGGACTCATTCAATATTCCCACAATTATTTGTGAAACCCACGATGTTAGAGTTGTCGACTTCCGCTTCTACCCGGCGATACCCCAAGTTCCAAGCTAAGTTAAGACCCTGGAATAAACCCCATAACTCTGCTCCTGTTATTTAGCATTCCCCAATGTTCATCATGAAGCCGCCGAGCCATTTGCCATGGAGTCACGAAGCAACCCTCCCGCATAGGCCATGCATAAGGATTTATTATGTGCTCCGTCTGAGTTCACCTTTATCGAAGAACTCGGCGGAGGTTCCCATCGGACAAGGCGTTGTACACGAGATGACCCTATACCAATCTTCTTAGCCCCTTCGGCGAAATGTAAAATATTGTTGACATAAGCACTGATCTCCTTTAACTTTGTCGAAAGCATCCATCCCCCGGTCTTGAAAGATAGAGATGTTTCTCCAGTGCCATAATTTCCACAGAGTTACGCCGAAAATGCATTCCCAATTTTTGGTATCGACAAGGGTGCTGGGGAGATTAAAGAGGTTGGTTGTAAGCCAATTCTCCATATCAAACTGAAAGAAGTACTGCTGCGCCGCTACTAGAACCAATCATAGCCAAACTTGCATGGCTTCAGGACAGTCCCTGAGGACATGAAGGAGGGTTTATTGCACCACAACGATGAGGCTAAGTTTCTTCGCTCTCTCTCAACATTGGTCATGAGACGACCCTTAAACACTAGCCAAATAAACTAACGTATGCGTTGAGGGCCCATAAGCATGCATTTTTATATATATAACACATCGACTTGCCTAATCATTAGCGTATGATCTAATCCAACTGTACCTAGCTATGTAAATAATTCCGAATAAATTATACTCATCTAATTTTGAAATATATATATAACCAAAAAAAAGTGAAATTCCAAATTTGTCTCTCAATCCGAAACTGAGAGATAATTTCGGAGCAGAGAATTTGATTAAAATAAGAAACAGATAACCGTGATTGGTAATTAAAGTGAAAAGTTGACCTGATATTGCAAATTTCAAAGTCATGCTTTTCTAGATTGATGCTTTTCTACTTTATAAATTCTTTTAACTCGTTTGCCTTTCGTTATCCATTTCTTCAGGGATTTTTATTTTCAATTCATGTAGACATGATGAATATTCTATCTTGAGCCTAATTCATGAAAAATGGTGACAACAAGCTTGAAATTGGGATTCTTACTTTACTTCTTTCTTCATACTTATTATTTTATTACCCTTCTAAGATGGAAAAATTAGGACAAATTTGTCTTCGGTGCGACTCGAATCCATTGGTAAAGGTGACTTTTGAAGTGAGTGGGCAATTTGATGAATTTATTCTAATGAGCTTTTTTTTTTTGTTGAATTTATTTTATTACATAAAATAATTATGATTGGGCAGAAATTAACTTAAATTTGATTTTGAATTTATAAATGAAAATGAGTTTAAAATATTATGATTAAAGTTAGCGTGATATAAAAGTAGTAAAATAATGAATGTAAATGATTTAGTTAAAAAATATGTATGCGGATAAAAAGTAAATTTTGTTTGAAAATATGTAGCAATTATTTCTTGTTATAATTTAATTATCTTGATAATATTGAAAAGAGTTAAGTTGGATTGTATGATGTTCAAATAAATATATTCAATCATAGTTCCCTAAAATAATACCTAGTGAAATAAAAAGTAAATAAAAAAATAGATTCCACTCGCACACAATTTTGAATGTTTGTAGATGCTAATTACTTCTTAATAGGTACCAGAAACTTTGTAGGTAACAAACAATCGTTGTAAATGAATCGAATTGAAAAGAATATTCATTTATTCAATTCACATATTCATATTCGTATTCGGTTTACTATAGATACAATTTATAATTCGTATTCAATTTGATTATGATAATCTTGGTGATTTGATATAATTTATTTAGTATATTTGTCTTGTTGGATTAATCTTTTAGACGGAATATGATTGAATACAAATATTCAACTCAAAAATCATATTTGTATACTCTAACTTTTTTCTCCTCAATATTATTAGATTCTCTCTCTTATATATATAAACCAGTTTGAGGCCGTTTGAGGCATTGAGAGATGGACACGTGTCCTTTGTGAATTCACATTATTGCCCCTAAATGTCCTTCGTAAAATGACTGTTCCTCTGCTTTGGCTTGCCCTTTTTTTTTTGTTTCTCTTTTTGTTGCAAATAGTTTTGTTATTTAAATAATTTGGAGAGAATTGATCTCAAAGCAATCACGATCTAGGTTTTTAGTTTTACCTTTTGCTCCCATTATCCCTCAAGATCAACAGAGGTTCAAAAAAACGAGATCTTGGCACGGGGTGAAAGTGTAATTCGCGGCTAGAGGCTCGGAAAATGCGTTGAATGATAGGTCGACAAACTGGAAACTGCAGGCGAATTTATTATTAGAAAGTGAGGTGAGGTTACCGGGGAAGGAGTTGCCGGCGAAAAGGAGGGTGGTGAGGCCGGTTAACGGCATTAGTTCGGTTAACTGGAGGCGGCCCGTTAAGCCCACATTTCGGAGACCGAGTTTTCCGACCCGGCCTTGGTCGTTGCACGTGACTCCGTTCCAGGAGCAGAGCGCGTCGGAGGAAGTTGGGGCCCACCCGGCCAGGAACCGGTTCGGGTTTTCCTCTTATCCAACATCTCCTCCGCCGCTACGACGAATCCACGAGGCCGCAGGTGCCCTCACGCGGTGGCGCAATCGAACGGGTAAGAAAAATTATCCCAAACTCTCCCCTCTCTTCTCTCACCAAACCCTAGCCCATCAAACAGAAAACAAAAACAGAGAAAATGGAAGAAATCGCCTAAGACAAAGGGCTGGATTTTTCCGCCGGTGAGGCTTCGGTTGGTCGGATGTTGGTGGGTCCGATTGATTTTGTTCACCTTGCAATATTAATTTCACAAAAAACTTGTTTTTTTTTTTTCATTTTCTTTAGCTTGCTCTTTTTACTACCGCCGGTATTGACGATATGCGTGGGTGATCTTTATTTTTTTGTCGTTATTTTGCGGTGAAGATTGCATAGTTATGTGTAAAATGTTGTTATTTACCTTTCATCCATTCAGTTCCAAAAAATCTTGCTTGAAGGTGCGCTAGGAATCTGCCTACCGAGTCTCCTTGTTGCTCTTCGAGCTTTCGGTGACCTGCTTTTATGGCTTTTCCTTTTCTTGTTCTCATTCTCTTAAATAAACTTACGGTTTTGGGTCTTTTTAGTGCTTTTGTTGCGTTTATATGGTGGTGTGTGGCGTGTTCTTATTATTTTTTGTGCTAACGCCGATTTCTTTGTGGCCTTTTTAGAGTTCTGTCATATGTCTTTTTTGCCATGCTGACCTGGAATCTAGCATGGTTGATTTGTGCGTACGAATTTGCTATTTGTATTAGTAAAATGTTTTTGTTTTCTTTCTTTATGGTGTTGCAGTTTTTTTGTGTTGTTGGGTTGTCGGCATCTTGTGCACTGGGATGTACTCTCGTGAGCGTGGAAAGGGGGGAAACGATGGGCCGCTCGACCAGCCTGGTTCTCTTAAAAACAAAAGGCAACGAAGTGATGCCCTTAATAGATGGCGGTCTAAAAAGAATCGTGCATCCCCTATGTGCCAAGGTTCTGGTTCTTCTCCGTCGCTTGTACCTCCACAAATTGGTGCGCCTTTGTTCAGGACCACTTCGAGTGATGATGCTTTGGCGGAGGTTACATGTGTTGGTGCGACTGCTGTGCCGACCACTGCGGGTTTGTTATGTCCATTACTTATTGGTTTAAAAAAAATAATTATCCAGCAATATTTCAAGTTTGTAATGGTCGTGCTGTGTGAAATTAAAGTTTTTTCGCTAACAACTCCTGTGTAATTACAGGCTCATCGGTGCCAGAGGTGCTGCGGCCAGCCGCAGGTTTGTTGTGCCCATAGGTTGATGATTTCAAATTTCTTAACAGTTGAGCAATATCCAAATCCTTTTGTGTTTCTATAATTAGCAGGTTCTAGGCTGAACGATGGGCGCCATTTGTTGGGCTCAGTACCATCTGAGCCGTCCATATTGCGGGAACAACGTTGTTGTCAACACTGCGGTGCTAAAAAGATAGCATATGAAACAGTTAAGTTTTGCTGTTCTGAAGGTGCCATAAAATTAGCGACTCACCCTATACCTGATTTGTTGAGGGACTTACTGTTTTCGTCGTCGCACGAGTCGCAGCTGTTTAGAACTTGCATAAGAACGATAAATAATCAATTTGCGTTTACTTCCTTGGGGGTTAAATATGATCAAGAATTAAGCAAACGTAATAGAGGTGTGTATACGTTTAGAATTCAAGGTCAGATGTACCATTTCATTTCTGACTTAGAATCAGCAAATAATCTTCAGCTATACTTTCATGACACAGCACATGAGGTGTCCAATCGTTTAGCTGCCTGTCCACGTCTAACTGAGTCAATAACTGTAAAGATTTTGAAAATTCTAGAGAGCAATCCATACGCTAAGTTTTTTCGCGGGCTTGAAAATCTTTCTAATCTTGATGATTGTCATATAGTTTTGCGCGCCGTGCCGGCCTTGGATCAAAGAATCTATAATCAGCCAACTGAATCTGAGGTGGCTGCATTATGGGTGGATAATGGTTCTAATGAAGAGACATGTAGGCGTGACATTCAAGTGCACAGTAGGGGTGGTTTGTCGCACAAAATTCAATATTATTTTGGTTGTTATGACCCGCTGCAATATCCTGTACTTTTTCCTTTTGGACAGATTGGCTGGCATGAGGGTATAGAGAAAAAAAAAAACCCCTGTACCTAACAATCGCAGGGGACCATGTAGCTCTATACGCTCAGTTTCTCCCTTTTGTGCTGTGGATGCAGAGGACTTAATACATAGGGAGGAGAATGGTATGAAGAATGTACCTTCTTTTAAACAAACATGTGTTTATTGTCTGCAAATTTTCATTCTTTTTTTCCTCTGTACAGTTGGGTCGTTTGTACATGAGGACCCCAGTTTTGTTTCTATGAGGGAGTATTATGCATACAAATTGCAGGTTCGTGAAAGTGATGACTCTTTCTTGCTTAATTTTGGTAGGCTTTTCCAACAGTATGTTGTTGACATGTATGTTAAGATTGAGTCGCAGCGTCTGGACTTCTATAAAAAATAACAAATAGAGAGGCTTACCGTACACTATTGAGTTTCAAAAGAGAGGCTTACCGTACGCTCACATGCTATTAATACTTAAATCCGAGTATAAAATGTATACATCTGATGAGTATGATAGGATTGTGTGTGCTGAGATACCGGATCGTGCTAATTATGCCCAAATCTTTCGTAAGACATGCAATACCTTCTGAATTAATGTTGTGGTCTAACAAATACTTTTGTTTCAATTTTAAATAGATTCGAACTGCATGGATTCAAGGCACTGCTTCTTTGGGAGCCATAAACCAACCTCTCTGGTTTGGTGCGTGCATGAATTGCCGCAAGAAATTCGAGCTTCAAGTCACCTCAGCAATATTATGCAGCTCATGCAACAAACAAAGTCAGATTTCAGCAAGGTATTTGTAGCAATGCCATGCAAAATATAAATCTGCAAATACATTAACATTAAAAACAAAAATGTTGATGATATGATCTGCTTTGCAAACTGGCACAGGGCAAGGATTCCAATCAAAATTGAAGATGGTACTGGTTCTATTGCTGCCGTGGTCTATGGAGAAGATGTTGAGCTACTAACCAAATTCAGTGGAGTGCAACTCCAACAGGCTGACGAAAAGGTTGTTCATCTTTAATAAAAAAAAAAAATGTAAAATCCTACTAAACATTGCTAAAGGTTTCATAGACTTCAAATATTTAAACCACTGTTAGTAGTTTTTTCTTTTGATTAATTTCGGTCGAGCATAATTATTATGAAATATTCATTTATTTAACCAGGTGACCTAGCATAATATGTTACTTGTGTAAGTGCTGCAGGATATTCAATGAATGTTGGTACACTTGCTAAACCTTTCATCCTCATACATATGCAGGGTGAATACATATTGGAGAAGCTTGATGCAAACATGAGGGGCAAACACATAGTTTGCTTTGTGAGAATGTTCAATGTGAATGGCCCAAGTTACTCGGTTGTCAAGCTTTACAAAGATAAAGATCAGGAAGATGAACCAGCTCTAATTGAAAATGAGAAAGAAACTAAACAATCACTGTCTGGAGATAAGGTGGTTGTACTTTTTTATACTTTACAATTCTTTATATGATGTACAACAGCTTACCCTACGACAAAAAAGTACATACCCATTTGACGGTTATCTCTGCAGGAACTGTTAGAGTCACAGCTGTTCACTCCTAGCGCAAAAGCATGTCTGGAGGAGGTAGCTGCCCAAATTCTGAAGACCGAAGTGCAGGGGCAGCCAAAAGCAAGTGTGAGGCGCGTGCTAAACTTGGAGAATGAGTCGTCTGACTCGATGGGTAGCACTTCAGCGTTGGGCAACGATTATGTGCCTGGAACCTCCGGTGAGGGCAGCGGCACTAACGGCGAAAATCAGTCTGACAGCCCATTAAAGAAAGCACGCACCCACACCTAAGGGTGGTGCTTTAGTATGCCGAGACAGCTCCTTTTGCATATATTCAACAATGCTATAGATGCTATGTCTTATGTTAATATTGTGTGTTGTACCCTTGCTGTTTTGAGCCCTTTTGGAACTACTTTTGTTTTGTTATCAGTTTAGAATAGATTTAGCATCTCTGTGTTAGGTTGCTAAACTAAGTCTAAATTGCTAAAATCTCTATGCTGATTGTTTCTCATGAGAAGAAACATTGTTTTGTGATAGCCTACTATGGTCACCTTTTGTTGATGAAATGGGTGTTGCTGTGTTTTCCTCCAATTATGTACACATTTTACCACTAATCAATGTTTACTGTTAAAACTTTGTTTTTTTCTTATTTTATGTTGCTCCATATCTTACTATATGCCACTTGAAGTATGGAGGTTCAAAAAATATTTGTTCTTTATGTTAATTAACACAGAAAATTCCATTTTTTTCCTAAGAGATAGTACATATAAAGACGATGATGATGGTAAATTTGCTGTTTAATTTAAAATACAGGTTCCATTCATAAAGTATATTTTCAAAATGCGGGTTTTGGACTTTTCAGCTCTGGGATTCAAGAGCAGAACAAAGAAAACGATCATATATGAGGTATGTTTAATTTATTGGCCTTTTTGAACTTTTTTTCATTTTTCTTTTTTCTTTTTGTTGGGATTTGTGTTTTTGGTAATACTCATGTAGATTTGTCAAGGGTTTATATAACCCTGACAAATAATACTATGTTCTTTCACTTACATGGTTCCGCAAATTTGTAATCCAATTTTGTTTCTTCATCATGTTACTTGACTTAAGATTGTGCCATGTCACTGGTCTCAATCATAATGGCTACTTGCATGTGAAAATTGACTATCAAGCTTAACTAACTTTTTCATTTTGTTCATCTTAGAGGCATCAAGTTTGATTGATTCATGCAGAAAACAAAATGGGATTTTTTATAACAGGAAGTTTGAAAAATTTTTGTTGGATGTGGTGGACACAGTTAGCATGCTCAATTTTGGAGCTAAACGTCATTGAGGTGATGAAATTGCTTGTGATACTAAGGTAAATAAAGTTATTTTAAGTGTTTTTAAGGTAAAATGTGAAGTCATAAATCTGGAAATTTAATATGTGATGATTATGCTGAGGAAGCCTCTCATTGAGGTCGAAAATTCTCGATTTAGCTCGAAACTATGTTCACCAGATACAAACAATAACATAGTTGTTTCTAAATTTCGACTCTAACCTGATGCACATGATGTTTTCGAATGTGTTCAATATATTTGTTCATGACCAAACAAGAATGTTTCTTTATCGCCATTCCAAATGACGCTATAATTCTTTTTCTTTTGGAGTTTACAAGAGTATCCATGTATCAATGGCCAATCCTGATTTGTAATGTAATGTGATTTTGTCTTTTTTTTTTTTTAAACAGGCGAAGATGACTAGATTCTCATCGAACTCGACAAAACAACTTTCAAATGCAATTGTGATAAAAAAACATGATAGTAGCCTGTGATTACGGTGAAATTCATAACATGGTCAAGAGGCATATTTTCAATAGCATGTTGGGACCTAATGGTCAGGTATAGGTATGAGCATTACACTCAGAGATACGTCTTCTGGTCTTCTTTCATCTCCAAATTATTGTAATATATCCTAAAGATGCAACTCACTCTAGGTTGTTTATTATTTCAAAAACAACATCAAATTTACAAAGATGCCATCATGGAAAACCTGTCGAAACAATTGAGAGCTTGTTTGAAAAAAAACCACTACCAGCTTTGTTAACATGATTCTGTATCATTTACCGTGTTTTGATTTGTGTTCTGATTTCCTGGTCTTTTCCATGGCTTCAATTGTTTGTCCTGGTGAATTTCAGGGTTATTTTTTTTCCTTCAAATGTACAAGTCAGGCAACCGAAATAAATTCATTATACATCCATTAACACTTCTGTATTAACTTAACTAGGTACGTCTTATTGAGACCAAACTTTCACTTGATTATTAACTAAATTTGGGCAACTGAGAAGTTGAAATATATCATATACAATAAATGCAGATAGGGTTTTTATAATTCACTTTGATGTGGTTTACCTTATCGTTCCTATCAATGTAATAATTTAATTAAAAAAAAACAACAACAAATGCAAACAAGGAGTATAAAATTATGACCAATAATTATCAATTAATTAAAAAAATAACATACTGAATAAAAGTAAAATTACATATGGCTATATTCAAATAACATACAAACCTTAATTTTAAACTTCAACATGGACACAAATAAACCATGTGAAAATCTATCGCCATGTACTTTGTGATTAATTTAAATTGTGCAAGACCCTATTTAGACAGTTATGAAATGCAAACTTTGTCGATATCTATTGAACATAAATTTCATTTCTATCGAGTTTAATAACAACATCTATATNATATATATATATATATATATATATATATATATATATATTTAATCTCGATTGAACATTTCAATGGACGACAAATTTTCACTAACTTTAGACTAAATTTGAGTCGGTCGTGCGTGCACGACCGTCAGACCAACTAGTAATTAAATAACAAAAACCACTCATTACACATTTTTCGAGAAAATATAGTATTCATCAACTCACATTTGTCTTACTACCAATACTACCAATCATTCAGGATCATTGTTTAGAAGTTGTGGGAAATTTCAGGTTGGTGGGATACACTTGGTATGTTACGAGGTTTGAGTTTCTCTTTTATCTTTTGTCATATTCTGGATAGTGACCGTGGAGATGATTTTTCAAGTTTTGCTTATTTATTGTGGATCATTTGGCATGAACGGAACCGAATCAAACACGGATTGCAAGGCAAAACGGTAGAGCAAGCATGGACAATAGGGATCGCATGGCAAGAGGAAGCTAATAAAGTGCGTTCGGGCCGACTCTCTCTAGAATGTGGGTTGGTGGGTTATCGATAGGTAGGTTGGTCTTGGGAAATTTCTTATACACGAATGAAAGTATGGCAATGTATTAATTACAAAATAATTATTATTTCCTGATTCGGATGTATCACTCCAAAATGCTAAGACGGACGACCTAGCCGTTATTTGTGGTTTGTCTAAACTTTTGCCTAACGATGGCTTTTAACAAGTCTTTGCGGACATTTTATCGCTTTTGTCGAATCTCAATTGCGGGTCTTGCAGCCACATTGTTAGGAATCAGAATTTTGTTGCCCATCACCTAGCTAGTCGGGATTTGTTGTCGACGGGACCCTGCTTGTGGAAGGATTGTCTCCCGTATTTCTTATCTTCTCTTTTTGGTAATGTTCGGAGTTTATAGTGTTAGTGTTATATACTGAAAGTTTGGTTTTGCATGTTATTACACATTTTCCCTTTATGAATGAGAATCATGTTCGATTAAACAAGCTCTATGTTCTGTTGTTCTGTACTTAGATAGAGTGGGTCGTCATCGGGCGAACCGAAGATCACTCTATAAGTTACTTGCGATCAAGAATAGTATTTCACAACCTAGATGGACATGAACACCCCATCCGAACGGTTGTAGTGTCAACTGTACAGTTTGTCTTGACTGATTAGTTGCACTAATACATTTATATATTGAACAGGATCCCAGAGAAGAAAAGTTCATTTTATACTGATCGTCGTAAATAAACTAGGCCTCGGTTAATTACTGCGTTATCTTAACTCGTGAGATATTAAACAGGCAGATATATATAATGGGCTTGTTTGGTTAATGGCTTTTTGCCCACAAACTAGCTTTTTTGTTTAAATAGCTGTTTGACTTTTTTCAATTCACCAAAAAAATTGTTTGGTAAATTAGCTTTTGCATTAGCTTTGTTAAACCCAACAGCTGAAAACAAAAACGCTACTAAATGGAGCGTTTCGGATTGGCGATTTGAGAATAAAAATGATTGGCCACAATTGCCATTCACTTTCAGCCGCCACAACAAAGAAATAAAGAATAGAAATAATTGTACTCATGGAACTTCTACAAATTTAATGGTAAAAACAAATTAAAGTTTATTTTGTCAATTCTTTTGTTGCATTATAGATGTTCTTTTAAACCAAAAATATGAATAATTTGCATTTTTTAAGTAATTACGAATTTAATGTTAAAAGGAAATTAAAGTTTATGAATGTCCTTTTAAGTAATTTTAATTGTTAACAGCTATTTATGAAAATAATTCTGCACAACGTGATGGGGAAATGAGGACTCGGCAGATGGAAAACGTTTGTAATAACATAGCGTCAAGTTTGATGGCATCTAGACGTCGTTCTTAGAGCATTAGTTTTTTTTATATATATATATATATATTTATTTTTATTTTTTATTTGTAATAGCAAATATTGCAATTGACACTTTTAATTTGTGATGACTTGTTATTGACCTTGTTTATATGACGATAATTTATCTACTTGATTGAGAAATATTTTTATTTTATTATTATTTATATTTTTATTATATTTAAATCACTTTAATTAATATTTAAAATACTAATTATTTTTATTTTCTAAATAATTATAAATTCAACATAAATTAAAATGATAAAGTATGTTGATGCTCTTATAAGTAATTTTACATGTTAACAGCTAATTGAAATAACTAATTTTACCAAACACGTTTTTACAAATTGCTAACACAATCAGCTGGTCAAAACAGCTCATACAATCTGCTGGTCAAAACAGCTAATGCAATCCGCTAACAGCTAACAACTAACAGCTGATTACCGAACAAGACCAATATATATTATTTTGATTCACTTGGGTGAGGTTCAGTTCACTGGATCAATATTCCTACTGTTTTGGGTAATATTATTATATATAAGATGTGCTGTAAGGATATTTACGGTCACTATGTGCGTTAGTTTGATGATGTTCCTGGAGTGAGTTCATGAAGAATTGTTATGCTAAACCCTGCAGGTGAATTAAGTTCCGGCATAATAAGAATGTGATGAACGAGCACTAGTTTCGGTGAAATAATAATAAATTAATTAATTCTTGATTGTCAGTAATTAAATTAATTAATGGACATTATCTCTTAAACGTGGGGAGATAGATCGAGTAATTATTATTGGAGTCTCAAATGTAATTTGGGCTAGAAAAAGGGAGTGCAATAATATAATGTTGGTGGCCCATTAATATTATTTAATTAATTAAAGGAGTGGGCTTGGCCCACAATTAGTCTAATTAATTAAAGAGCCCTATTTCTAATCTCCTAAGGGTCGCTACTGTAGTTCTATATATACATCATTAAGCTCATGATAAGAGAAGACATATCTCATAGTACACGACCAAACCGCCGCCCTCTACTCTCTCTCTCTAGATCTCATTCGAGCTTTATATTCTTCATGTTGCTCCACTAATACAAGTTGAAGAAGGGTGTGTTGACGAAATATATTTTATCCTACAGAACTAACCGGAGGTCCGATTGAGGAATGGAGAATGCCCAGACGACCGTCTCGACGTCAACTTTCAGCCGCCGCCGAGATCGCTGCCGTCCGTTGCCGCACGCGCCGCCGGAGGCTCCCAGGCTGCAACATCCGTCTTCATCTATTTGCACCCGTTTGATTCGGTTTTGATCAGATTTTGTTCGTGCAATCCAAGACGTGATTTGCGGTCAACCGTTCGTGGTCAACCAGATCTACATAAATTTTAAGCCGTAAGTTCTTTACGTCAAACCTTTAGATCCGTTGCGCATAGGTTTATGTTTGCTATTAAATTCGTGACTTGTACATAATGAGATCCTCACAGATCCCAACATATATCTCAGTTGATTGCTAATGTTATTGTAATCGGAAAAAAAAAATAAAAAAATGACACCTTATTTGACAAATTAAATACACTTAATTATAAATGCGTGCATTAATATTAAATCCCTCATTACAAATATTAATTGTGTGATTGATTTAATTATTAGACAAGTCGATCTATTGTATATTTGTAAAAAGAAAATGTATATATATTATGAAATATTATATTTTTTTAGCACTTCATTAGTATGAGATTTCAATTTAAATGCATATTTGTTATGAGATTTCAATATAAAAGAATGAATAGTTTTTGAAAATTTGTGGTTGTCTAATAGAATAATTACCTTTGCTATGTCAATGTTTAAGTGTTGGAATATCACTTGTGAGTTGTCTCACATTGATTCTATATGGTAAATGAGCATAGTTTATAAGCCTAGTGGGCTACTCCTCCATCACCAATTAGTTTTGGGATGGAACTTCACTAAGGTACACCTAGGCTCACCCTCTTATGGTGCGGTTCACCTGATGGGACACACCCTCTTCCCCCGGTTCTATATGGCATCAGAGCGGGCCTGTACTAAGACCTGCAATGACTATCTCTACCCGACATGCTCTGGGATTGGACTTACTTTATCTAGTCTGCTCTGTGTTGGAATATCACTTGTGAGTTGTCTCACATTGATTCTATAGGGAAAACGAGCCTAGTTTATAAGCCTAGTGGGCTACTCCTCTTATCACCAATTGATTTTGGGATGAAACCTCACTAAGGTGCACCAAAGAGCATTTGCAATGCTTTGATCTAATTTTATTTACGTGGCTTGTAAATAGACCTAAATCTTGGATGACATGGACAAAAATATATAAAAATAACAAAATTGACTCCAATGCAAAGAGACTAGGTACCTACTTGGTCTAAAATAGATTTAAGAGTAGACCGAGTCTCTTTATCTTGTTGTCATATCAGCAAGACCTACTCTACTTGCACTTGCATTGGTGAATATATTTTTCTAAACTAGATCTATTTCCTACGTGGCTTATATATTTTTCTGATTAAACCCAAAGTATTGTGGGTGCTTTAAGCTCACCCTCTTATGGTTGTTCTTTACTTATACAAAAAACTCAAATATTAAGTATTTGCAAATATAAAATTAATAGTCGCTATAAAAAAAAAAAATTAGGAGCTTTTTTATTTTTATTTTTTGCTTATATAGTAAAAGAAAAAGGAAAACAAATTGTGATTTATTGTGCTAGATGACAATTCCTGGCAAGGTAGGCAACCTTTTATGCAGTGTGTAAAGTAGAACAAAACAATGGAAAAAAGAAAAAGAAATTGAATAATTACTAGTACTTTTTTTCTATTAAAGTGTGTCGTCTTTTTTAATGCACGAAAAAGGCATCAAAATAAAGTAAAGGAAAATATAAAAAGGTTTGGAAAAAAAAGGGAGAAGAACAACTGAAGTGTGAAAAGGAGATTTTGAGCCGATGCCCTTTTGCATCAACTGCGTGCGAAAAAGTTGAAAATTAGTTTAAAAGGCAAACACGAGTGATTAGTTGCTAAACACTCCACGCGGCATGCTTGCGCGTGTGGTCACTCCCTGTGAGGACAGTAAGATTAGAACGAGAGAACAGGACGGCGTGAAGTAAGGGGAAAAAGAAAAGACCGAATATTCCCTTCTTNCATATTTTGGATTCTTTTTTTTTTTCGAAACGATAGATATTTTATATAAATGCGCACAAATGTGCAAAAGAACAGCCACCAACTGAATACAAACAGCCAACGGCTGAATACAACCAGCCAACAGCTGCATAAAATGGGAGGACAGGTCAAAAGACCGCCTAGAGCCTGACCCCAACAGGGTAATACACGGGAACACACAAAAAGACACAAAAACACTAAAAACGGCTCCAACAGGGTAATGCCTGAGTGTACGGTTCCAATAAGATAATAAAGACCGAATATTCCCTAACAAAAGTGAAATTAAGAGAGCTTAAAAGTCAAATCCAATAATCTATTTCAAATTATGCATGTGTAAATTCTGGAGAAAAAGTAGTACTTCCTCCTATTTTTAATAAATGTCGTTTTGAGAAGTTGCACAATAATTAAGAATATTTTTTTTTTGCCAATAATAACTTTCATTAATGAGGATAGAGATTAATGTTTTGAGAAAAAGATGGAGAGTGAATATGAAATAATTAAGAATATTTTTTTTTTACCAATAATAACCTTCATTAATGAGGATAGAGATTGATGTTTTGAGAAAAAGATGGAGAGTGAATATGAAAAGACATAGTGTATTTATTAGTTAGATGAAGGTAATAATGGAAAAATATGTACAAAATAGCCAAAACGACATTTATTTAACAAATAATCAAGTATGCTAGGATGACAAATAATAAAAATAGGAGGGAGTATTATGCGAGATGAACCCACGGGTCGATTTGCAGCATTGTCTATACCAAAATAAATTTAGTATAGTTTGGCAATTTTGCCCGTCATTACAATCGACATGTTATTAACCATCGTTTGAATATATGTGGGTCAACTCAATAATTATTATTCTATTTATATAAATTAGTGCGTGGTCCGTGCGATGCACGAGAAAACAGTATTACGATTATATTATAAATTAAATATATAAATAACACTAATCATGATTTATCCATTATTTTTAATTAAACCGGGTTGGACACAGTCTGACCGGATGGACCGAGAACCGTTTATAACCAGTCTAGTTCACTTGAATAAAATATTTGCTCTTAAATCCGTCAACACCAGTCGGTTGGACTGGTAGGATCGATACGATTTTCTAAATAAATTTTATTATATTTAAAATTATTTTAAATAAAATTACATATTTAAATAAAATAGAGATTTATAAATTATTTATCAATTAGTTTAAACATTTGAAATTATAAATTGTTTAGATATCTAAGTAACACATTTTATTTAAATTTATTACAAAAAGTACTATATATATATATGTATATATTAAAATGTTTATAAATTAAAATCTAACAAACCACAAATGATTTAATATAATAGCTTGATCGTTTCGATTACCGTCCAGTTCTGAAAACCTTATATTTACTATACATTCATAAATATTATAATAAAATATTATTTAATTCACATAAATATTAATAAAATGATATATAAATATTCATAAATCATTAAACATGTTATCATAAAAGTATTGTCAATACGATTATTTGAAGTTTGGACTACATTACATTCACGTAATAAAATATTTTCATTATAAAATTTATGTTTAGGTTCAATAATCGATTTGGTGGGGTCGAACTGATAAATAACTTAGTCACCTGGGACCAACCAAATTGTGTCAAATTTTTTGACTATTTTAAATATCACCTAAAAATAATTCAATCAACCTGGGCAGTACCCTAATTCAATCACCCGATTGATCCGAAGAAATTTTCTTATTTTCTTTAAATATATTTTATTTTATGAAATAATTTTTTTTTATGATTCTTATAATAAATGTCTACACCAAATGATAGTATATCAAGATTATAAATTATATATCTAAAGATGAATTAAATATTTTTACTTTATGCATATTAATAAAAAATAAACATAGTAATTTTAAAAAAATTAAGATTAATTGATTGATTATGGAATTTAAATAATATTTTTAGCGTTCAATATTTTTTTTGAAGGCACAAATATAAAGACCGAGATTCTAAAACTTTTGTTATATTTTGAATTGAGATTTTATAAATATAGATACCGAGATTTTAATGTTGTTCGTTGTTTCCAAGAAAAAAATAAAAATAAAAACATACACACTTAATAAATCTTAGCTGGATTTAATAAATAATAAAATGAACTAAAGCCCGAAATTTAAGGTAACATTTAATGCTGTATGATTTATTTTAAAACAAATAAAAAAACAATAAAACTTACTATTTATAGGCTGCATTAAATTCTGACCTATTTTTTTACTACTATTTTTGGTAAATGGTAATTCTGATTATATATATATATTAGTATGTACCCGTGCGATGCACGGTTGGCGCATAACTTAAAACATATTGAAGTAATTATTTTAAATATAATTAATTCAATTTAACATCTAATTATGAAAACAAAAAAATTAAATAAAAAAGAAATCATATATTATTAAAAATTTCTCTGTACACAACATTATTTGTTTGATTTGGGGGCAAATTATGTTTACCACATATTAGAATTTTCAAACCCTTTCTGTTGGTGGCCAAAACTGGTTTCTTCAAGAATAAACCAATGTGGGATAAAGATTGACCCTGACTCTTGTTAATAGTATTGCATAAGAGACCATGATATAAACTTAAAAGGTACTCTTGCATCCAAATGAGTTATCGTCATTCGAGGTATCAACACTTTATCCCCTGCATGGTCGCCCGTAAGTATCCTACATTCTAGAACATTATTGGAGAGTCTTGTTACAACCAAACGTGTCCTGTTGCACATTCTAGAACATTCTAGAAATTGTTTGAAACGTTAATTACGGATCAATTTATGGAATTGGGATATGTGATAGTTTTGTAGTTATCTTGCTAAAGAATGGAATGTGTAGAGAGTTAAATAACGTGTCATTGTATTTTTTTGATATTTAATCATTTTTATTAACTTGTCTCCAGCATAAAAATTATGAAAATATTCAAACGCATATGTGATTTTGTAAGGAAAGATCTATTTTTAATTTAATGACTATATTAAAAATAAATTTAAAGGATCAGAATAATATATTATAATATATATATATACATATATATATGAATAAAAATCAATTATCTCGAACTCTCTATATATACAAATATATGTAAAAAACATTAATTATCTCAAATGTAACCACTGAACGATTTTTTAGGTATTTATAATGTTATGATTATTGTCTAATAACTAATAATATTTGAAAATATATAAAAATATGCTTATAATTTTAATTTTCACGAATTTAGTGGGTAATAAATTCTTAAATATAGCTAGAATCTAATGTAATTTTTATCTATACAAAATATTAATGGCCCCAAATCAAGAAGATTTGTTTGCACTTATTGATACTCAATTGATGTATATTATTATTATAAATTAATAAATATTGTCAATTTTGTCACATATCATCTTTTTCGTTTCAAAAGAAAATTATTCTTCCAAAAATGGTGTTAGGAATATCTGCTGTCAAACTCAAAAGATTATTAGATACTCGTACAGAAATATAGAATTTTTTTTTAAAAGAATACCAATTAAACTAACGGACTTGTAGGGATTTAAATCAAAAGGATAAAGGAAAACATGTGTTAAAAAGAGTAAAAATTTGTTAGATAAATATTGGCCTTGTTTGGCGATCAGCGGATAGCGGATTATATCAGCTGATTTGACCAGCGGATTGCATTAGCGGTTTTTAAATAAGTGTTTGGTAAATAGCTGAAAACTTATAGCTGTTTGACATTGCAAAATGACCAATAAGGACATTTTATTATTTAGGGTGCATTCTTTTAATAATAATATATTAAAACATTTAATATTCTTTAGTTGGTAATTTATAAATATATATATATTTTTTTAAAATTTACTAACACTTGATGAAGAAGTTATGAATTTTACATTTTTCTAGATAAATTAATCATATGGATGACATATTATTATTTATTAGCTCCATAAACCAATGTAAATTGTAAAATAAATAAGACACATTAAAAAGTTCCAAGTAAAACCTCTCAACTGTGAATCCTCTATCCCAAAAAGCTGCTCTAATGAGCTTTTTCTAAATTAGAGTTTTGGGCCCAAAAAGCTTATCAAATAAGCTATTTACCAAACAAACTCAATAGCGGATTTGACGGGTCAAACCTCTCAATTAAGTCCAATCCGCTAATTTATCTTCAATCCGCTATCTACCAAACGGGGCCATTGACTCATTCAATTTTTTTAAAATTCGAAAAAAAAAAAGTATTTAAGTGGGAAAAACATGATTTTTAAGCGGAAAAACGAAATGGCTTTTTTTCGAATTGTTCAAATAATTTTTCTTCTCCGTATTATATAGTAATAAATATATATATAAATTTAATTTTGGAACTATTTATGAGAAAAAAAAAGTAAATGTAACTTTTTTTAAATTATCTAATAATACAATTATTTGATAATTTAATGGTTGAACCAATGATTGACATTCGGATCATTAACGGGGAAAAACCATAAGAAAAAGAAATGAACATAAGGTAGGAGAATAAGAATAAAGAAAAATAGTTAGATAAACATTAATAAATTAATGTGTTAAAAGCACTCATGAATCTCGTCATATATCAACCTCCAAAAAGGTCCATTTATATTTACTTTCCTCCAACTTTCCATTATCTTTTTCACTTAATCAAAAGTCTAATTACTTAATTCCCTTTGATGCAAGGGTATAGGGTGAATATACTCTAATACTAAGACTAGCTTGATTATCCAATAAACCAAGTAAAAGATACCAATTATAATATTGCTTTAAAATCTCATCACACTTAAATGTTGGGCAGGTCATTCTCACAAAGGAAGAAGTATGAGAATTTGCTGCCCAATTTCATGTTTTCATCATTAAAATAGTACAATACAAATTACTATTATAATTTATAGTGCAAAAAGTATTTGGAGTAATTGAGGAAAGATTGTAGTACAATTTATTTTCTTTTTTCTTTTCGAGATATTTTTCAGAAATTCTTGCAACTGTGAAAGTACATATATACCCCTGATTTCCATAAAATTCTTGTACGTTAATTTATTTTCTATCCTTTTTTTCTCTAGTTATTATGTCACCCCACAGATAAGAAGAACAAATTAATTAGAGGGTAAAAGAAAGAAAATGGAAAAATAAAATAAAAATGATGCCATCACTCATCAGTATTTTAATTAATTTGTTTTTTTCTACAATTTGCTTTATGTTCATGTGGGGTGCTGATATTTTATTTGGGTGTATTAAATGACATAGACACTGTGTGCTTTGTGTGTGTGGGTTTCCTTTTTACTCATATATATAATCACCAGCAGTAAATAAGAGAGAGAGAGAGAGAGATCAATAGAGAGGCTCTGGTTCGACTTTCGAGTTAGAGAGAAAGTTGGGGAAGAGAGAGGTTTGTGTGAAGGAGGTGGTCCGATCTTTCCTTTCCGCGTTGAATTTCTCACACAGCTCTTTTTTTCACATATTCAAATAAACCATACGAATAATACATACAGAGAAAGGAAACACCATTTTTCATAAGCCAGAGAGAGAAATAGTTAACAGAGAGAAAGAAAAAATCAATTCAATCAGATTCTCACAAACAATTCCTCAGATTCAATCGTTTGCCCAATGGAATTTTGATAGAGAGCAAAGGGGAGGTATGAGAGCGGGCCTGAACTCTATCCAGCAGACGCTGACTCCGGAGGCGGCCGCCGTGCTCAACCAGTCCATAGCGGAGGCGAGCCGCCGCAACCACGGCCAAACGACGCCGCTCCACGTGGCGGCGATGCTGCTGGCGTCTCCGTCGGGGTTCCTGAGGCAAGCGTGCATCCGGTCCCACCCCAACTCGAGCCACCCGCTCCAGTGCCGCGCGTTGGAGCTGTGCTTCAGCGTGGCCCTCGAACGGCTGCCGACGGCACAGAGCGCGGGGGACGCGGAGCCGCCGATCTCCAACGCGCTCATGGCGGCCCTGAAGAGGGCGCAGGCGCACCAGAGGCGGGGGTGCCCGGAGCAGCAGCAGCAGCCGCTCCTCGCCGTGAAGGTCGAGCTTGAGCAGCTGGTAATTTCGATACTCGACGATCCCGGCGTGAGCCGCGTGATGAGGGAGGCCAGCTTCTCCAGCCCCGCCGTGAAGGCCACAATCGAGCAATCCCTAAATAGCTCCAGCTCTCGCGCAAGTCAACGTCAGCACCACGTCGCCGGCGGGAGCGCGAATTTCGTGGCGGATTTCGGTGGAATTGCTTCTAGAATGCTTCTAAATCCTGGTCAAACGCCAACTCCGGTGGCTCGACCGATGTCTCCTGCGGTCCCGTCGCTGGCCAATCGGAGCTTGTTCCTGAATCCGCGTCTGCAGCAGCAACAAACACCCACCGCCCAGATTGAGAACCCTAGAGGCGAGGAAGTCAAAAAGGTGTTCGATATAATGTCTAGGAGCAAAATGAGAAACCCAGTTATTGTGGGGGATTCAGAGCCTGAGGCCGTGGCCAAGGAATTGTTCAGAAGAATAGAAAATAATGAACTCGGAAATGAACTGAACTTACAGAATCTTCACATAATATCAATAGATATGAGTCTTCTATTGTCCGACAAGAATCAAATAGCCGCCAAGATGGATGAATTTGGAAGGGCGATTGAGAGTAAGATTGGGAACGGAGGGGTGATTCTTGATCTGGGAGACTTGAGGTGGCTGGTGGAGCAGCCAGCGGCTGCAGGTTTCAGTTGGACCCAGCAGCAGCAAAAGGCACCAGTTGTGTCCGAATCGGGCCGGGCTCTGGTGGTGGAGATGTCAAAGCTACTGGCCAGATTTGGTGGAGCTGATGGTCTGAATGAGGGCAAGAACAAGCTCTGGTTGATTGGGACTGCAACTTGCGAGACATATTTGAGATGCCAGGTTTATCATCCCACCATGGAGAGTGACTGGGATTTGCAGGCTGTGCCTATTACATCGGGATTTCCTATTCCGGGAATGTTTCCGAGGTATTTTTATTTTCATTTTCTTGCTTTGTTTTCTAATTTGTTTCTTATGCTACTTAGTTATGGAGTTTGTGTGAAATCGATATATTTGGTATGTTTACTTTAGAAAGAATGGGGTTTGTGTGATGGAATTTATTATCTAGTCCTGATCTTGGGTTGCCACTGAAGAGTAGTTCATCTGCAAATATCTGAAAATCAAATTTCTTGTTTAATTTTGAAGTACAGTCTTCTCTCTGTTTATTTTATTTGGATTGGTCGGATTCTTTTATTAGAGTTATCATCCTGAGATTTGATCATTTATATTTACAGGGTTGGACCGGAGAGAACCATGAGCAACCCCTTGGAATCCCTGAATCCGGCGAACCCTATCCGAAGTCCGTCACCTACTTTAGCAACGCGTTTAACCGGAAATTCAGATCCTGCTACTACAAAACAACCTGTTCCAAGTTCCTTGCCTGGTTTGTTGAGGCTTATACCTGAAAATTTGGATCGTGTTCAAGGGCAAACTGTTCCGAGTCCATTACCTGGTTTAGCAAGGCTTATTCCTGAAAAGTTAGATCCTGCTCAAAGGCAACCTGTTCCGAGTTCATTACCTGGTTTAGCAAGGCTTATTCCTGAAAAATTAGATCCTGCTCAAAGGCAACCTGTTCCGAGTTCATTACCTGGTTTAGCGAGGCTTATTCCTGAAAAATTAGATCCTGCTCAAAGGCAACCTGCTCCGTGTCCATTACCTGGTTTAGCGGCGCTTATTCCTGGAAATGTTGATCCTGCTCAAAGGCAATCTCTTCCGAGTTCGTTACCTGGTTTGGCGACACGTATATCTGAAAATTCAAATCCTGCTCAAAGACATCCTACTCCGAGTCCCTTACCTGGTTTGGGGAGGCTTATACCTGAAAATTTGGATCCTGCGCAACAACCCACCTTTTGCCCTCAGTGTTCAGTGAATTACGAAAAAGATCTAGCGAAAATTGCAGCCATGGAGAAGTCATTATCTCAAGCCAAACAGGATACCCTTCAATCTACCCTGCCAGCATGGTTGCAAAATGCCAAACTCAACAATCCTGATGCTAAAACCCCCAATGAATCACAAGTATGCCTTTTNGGCTTGATTTCAAGATTTTGCTAAACCAGACATGTTTAATCAAATACAATCTGTAGCTGAAATAGAAAATAATCAAAATATTCACATGTTTGCAGGGAAAGGACCAAAGTCTACTTTCCAAGCAGAAAACTCAAGAGCTGCAGAAAAAATGGTGGGACACTTGCTTACATATCCATCCCGATTTCCATCAAACTACCCATCCCGAAAACCCTGTCCGGCCAGCCATGCAGCCATCTCTGGGAAGCATCTACAATCCAAACATGGTCGCCCGTCCCCCTTTCCAGCCCACGAAGCCCAACCTTGCCAAACCTCTCGGGTCAGCCCTACAGCTGAAAACTAGCCCAGTCAAAAGCCCGGCAACAAGCCCCGTGCAGACGGACCTTGTCCTGGGCACCAAGGGCCCGGAGAAACCCGACGAGGATCATCCAGCCAAAGACCTGCTCAGCTGCATCTCATCCGAATCCATGACAACAAACAAACCGCTCGAGAAATTCGCCGACGAGCTGGACTCCGGCACCTACAAGAAGCTCCTCAAGGGCCTGATGGAGAACGCTTGGTGGCAGGCTGAAGCTGCCTCAGCCGTAGCCTCGGCCATCACTCGCTGCCGCCTGCGCAACGACAAGCAGCGGGCAAACGGCAGAGGCGACACGTGGCTGCTGTTCGCGGGCCCCGATCGTGTCGCCAAGCGCAAGATGGCGTCCGTGCTTGCCGAGCAGATCTGCGGGTCGGGCCCGGTCATCATTGGCCTCGGCCCGCATCGCGAGGACGAGCCCGACACGGGCCTGCGAGGCGGCAATGCCGTCGACCGCATCGCCGAGGCCGTTCGCCGGAACCCCTTGTCGGTGATCGTGCTCCGGGATATCGACGAGGCGGACGTGATCGTGCGTGGGAACATAAAACGGGCCATCAATCGAGGGAGGCTCACCGACTCGTATGGCCGTGAGGTCGGACTCGGAAACGCTGTTTTCATCGTCACGGGGGACTGGTCGACGGTTAGCGCCGAGGCCTTACGAGACGGGCAGTTTGTGGACGAGCAGAAGCTGAATTCAACAGCTGGCGGGAGCTGGCAGCTGGGGCTGATAGTTCGGGAGAAGACCGCCAAGCGGAGGGCCAACTGGTCCAACGACGGGGGCCCGAGGACTCGGCCGAGGACTGAAATGGGTGGGCTCTCGGTTGATTTGAATCTCTCGGCTGCGGCTTACGAGGAAAAATCCGTGGAGTTGAGCGAGGTGTCGGCGGTGGACGGAGGGGACGATGAGGAGCCCACGGACGGGGGTTTCTCGATTGTGTCGCTGCCGCATGACCTGGCGAGCTGTGTGGACGACTCGATCGTGTTCAGGCCGGTCGAGGCGGCGTTCGTGCGGCGTGAGATCAAGAAAATGATAGCGGTGAAGTTCTCGATGGACGTGGATGAAAACCTGGCGATCGAGATAGGGGATGATGTGCTGGACAAAATACTTGGAGGATTGTGGCATGACACGACGAGCCTGGAGAAGTGGGTGCAGGGAGTGGTGGGCCCGAGTTTCGAAGAGCTTAAGCCACGTCTGCCGGCAGGGGATAGGAGCAACTCAGTGGTTCGGCTGGTGGTCGAGTCGGACTCATGCGATCGGGGGAAGAGTAAAGGGGATGTGGTGGAGTGGCTGCCGAATAGCATCTTGGTGTAGGGATCCGGGAGGGAGTTATTGAAATTTCGGAGTTTTGTTGGGGCGATTTTGTAAATAGTGGAA